ATACCATTAAAGCAATATAAGAAAAACTCATAGTTTGCTTTTAATATTTCTTTTGTTCCTGATATTTTATGTCAAGCACAGAAAATACTTTATTGATATGTTCCACACCTCTAATTTTAGATATTAAATTAATTATAACTTGTAATTCTAATTACCTAGTTTTGAGTGTCATTTATCAAGTAGTTATTTTTGAAAGAATGATAGTGCTGTTCTAATAGCTAGATTTGTTTTGCTCCAGTGCCCTTTAATGATAAAAATTAAATTTTTACCTTGGGGCTATGAAATTCGATTATTCTGAAGAGTTTTATGATTAAAAATAATATGATCTTGAAGAAAAGAGTGTCTGATTTAACTGGACAAATAATAGAAAATTGCTTTAAGTACAGGAGAGAAAATGTGACTTGTAGTTATTTGACAAAATCAGGTAGAGACAAGATAGAGCTAATGAATGACTAAAAGCCTGACATTTGCAAAGGAATGACTAAATAACAGTAACCATTTCTAGTATTTAATTAATGAAAAAAATAATATTTGAACAGTAGAAACTACTGTGAGGAAGAAATAAAAATAATGTTATGTATGTTCCTTCCGTTATCGCTCAGTATTTTCTCTAGTGATGGAGTCTCACTGATTCAAGTCAGTTATTCTGACCAGCCTCTCTTACCTGTAATCAATCTTCCTGGCTCTACGTTTTTTAAGCCCCAGTGTACCACAGCTTCCCTCCGTATTCTGCAGTTACTCAACCATTTTGGTGTCTTGATGACTGATGCACATGCCCAGTAACCCATCTGGTACTGGGGCTAAATATCTGGAGGGGCGTGTGGTGGAGCCTGGTGTAAATGTGAAATGATTCTGAACCGTAGATCCGGCCAGGCATGTGCCGTCAGTTACTGTGCAGGGTTCTTGTTACCAGCTCTCGAGGTGCTTCTTCAGAGATTTCAGAGCATCTCTTTTAGCAGATAATTGGCATCATTCTGGTATGAACTGACTCTCCCATCCCCCACTTTGATTTTGAAGGTTGTCCTGCAGTTGAAATAACCGGAAATGATGAATACCAACATTATCAGCTCCCACTGCTGCAACTGATATGACTGCGTGAATACAGTGTGTTCAGAAGGCCTGTGAGATACTATTACGGCAAGCTGAGAAAGCAGCAGTGTAGAGATTGCATAGATAAAATTGATCACCTTCTCTAAAGAACAGGAAATTACTTGGTTGACAGGAAATGCATAAAAAAATGAAAGATAAAATGCTATAATAGCAGTTTACATTTTCATAATGACTGTTCTGCTTCACTTATTAAATATCAGAAATCTTTATAGAGTTTTATTGAAAACTAAAAATAGGCTCTAAAGTAATGTAGACATACAAAGCACAAATATACTTGAATCTTGCTTAAGGAAGTATGTGAATAGCAAGGATGTGTATTATGGATATATGTGACTAATTTGTGATATTAAACAATAACTTTTAAAGAATGTATAAGCTGCATATACAACTCAGGAGACTCCATATCTTTCTCATATTTCAAAGGGAAGATTATAAAAATGTAAAATTTCTTAGAGAAAGAAGCTCTTCAGACATGAACAAGAAAAAAATAAATGTGTGTGAATAGTTCTGAGTTTATGTATTCTAGAAAGTAAAGTCTTATACAAAAACAGGAAAACATGCAATAACATGGTTACTTTTGTATTTCTATGTCTGACTGGGAGAATATGCTATGATCAAAAGAATGTATGTCATTGTATAGTGTATCTATTATTATTCAAGTATCAGCTAAGTCTATATATATAATGTTCATTTTTGTTGTAAACTCTTCACGTTGAATTTAACAGTTTTGGATGCTAACAACTTTATTGGCAAACAGATCTTTTTAAATTCAGTTAACTTTAAAATCAAGCATTCTGACCCAATAAAAATACCATTTTATTTTTATATATTGCTTTATTTCAAATGACTTTCTACATTAGGCAATAATACATAATTAATTGGTACCTGCTGTTTAGAAGCGTTATAGCTCATTAGGACATGTTGTTTGAGGTATCCAGAGCGATTATTACTATTCTCCTCCTACAGATGAGGCAAGGCTTAGAGGTTAATAAATATTGGAGTGCGATCTAGATGGGCTGCTCAAAATATGTCTGTAGACTAATGCTAACCTGTGAACTGTTAGTTACAGGTCGTTGATTAGACGAGGAGCTTGTGCCAGAATGTTCATCAATGTACTGCTGTCTTAACTGAGAAATTTTGGTTATGAAAAAAAAAATATCAGCTGAACTAAATAGTATGCTTAGGGAGGTAGTTGACTTACTTTCTTGCGCAAGTTCCTTATGTCATTATGGGCCTGT